AAACAGCTCCTAGTTAACAATGGTTACAGCAATGGAGACATAGACTCAGAAATCCAACGACAACTTGACACAAAATACAACGACACAAACATGCAGGAGTTGCAGGGCACATCACACCACCTATATTACCGCAACTTCATGAACACAGAATATGAGAAAGACGAGCGGATACTTAAACACATCATTACGAAAAACGTAGAATGCAAGGACAAGTCTGACAAACTCATGCTCCACATTTACTATCAGAGCACAAAGACGAAACATCTGGTCATGAAAAACAACCCGATTGAGACTAAGCGGCTCATGCGTACCAACGTAGTGTACCAATTTGACTGTCCCTCTGAAGATTGCAGGCTTCAGAACATCAGCTACGTTGGATACACATGCACCACTTTGTCTCGTCGTCTGACCATGCACAAACAGGAGGGAGCAATCAAGACACACATGCTGGAGAAACACAACATTAGACTGACAAGAGAACACCTGGTAGAAAACACGTCGATCATCCACTCCAACCGTGACCCCAGACGCGTAGAGATCACAGAGGCCATACACATCAGAGACCACACACCAAGCATCAATGAACAGAAAAACGCACGCCTAGAAAAACTGGCTCTCTGGGGTACAATGCAGCACACATCACACCCACAAACACGCAGAACAACACCCACACAAGCAACCCAACCCAACTAGCGCTATGTGTGACGTGATCATATTTACTGTTGTAGTATAGGGCGCTGAAACTGAAAGTGTTATTTATGATTTTACTCGTGACCTGTATATTGTTTTTCAAACGTGTCCATGTACGCATTATTTGAACGAGTGTCTCACAGTGTACTTGAAAATGAATGTATAATACATTCGAAACGCGTCGAACTTTAACGAATATTTTTACATGAACTTTGCCGATCTGATACATCGTATTGACGAAAACAGCAAGAAAATAGTCAATAAGATCATAAAAACACAAACAAAGCTTTCGAAATGTGAAAGTGCTATTACGTTTAATGGTCTTTGTCTAAAAGAATATATATATATATATATATATATATATATATATATATATATATATATATATATATATATATATATATATATATATATATATATATATATATATATATATATATTGAGACGGGTTACACAGCACATTGGGTGGACGCGTTTCGTCTAAATGACTTTTTCGACACCCTCTCGGAAATTAAAACAATACAAACACAGTGTTTGTATTGTTTTAATTTCCGAGAGGGTGTACCAACTGAGCTACGGGACATTTGCCTGTCCCGTAGCTCAGTTGGTAGAGCATCGGACTCCCGGTAGTGAGAGCCCGGGTTCGAGACGCTCCGGCGCTCGATATATGAGACTCCTGACGGGGATGGTCTGCGGTTGGTGGGAGCAGCCGCAGCCAGTTGAAGTCAGTTGAGTGGGACAGGCCGTGTCCGGCTTTGAAGGGCACGTTAACCCGCGCCCGGCTGGGGGTCCTGGATTTCCACGCCCTGCTGGGGGGGGTGTTTGAACACCCCCCCCTTCTAACTCGGCTCCTGGGCCACGTAGCGAAACGCGGAAGGCGGCGTTCGAAAGAGCGTCAAAAATAATGACGAAATCACTTCGGTCAATTTTTTGGTCAGGTCAAAGGTCAGGTCACCAGAGGTCATTAAAGGCAAAATTTCGCCGATTTCCAGGTCGAATGTCGACAATTTCCAAGAAGCCAACGCATAACTCGGGAACCAATAGAGCTACAGCGCCGCGGAAAAGCGCATTCGATAGCCCTATTAACGCCCTTTCTGAGTAATTCTCTCAGATTTGACCTAACGTCAACGGTTTTGCCTGCAGGGGGCAAAAACTGCAAAAATAGACGATTTTTTTGGAAACAGTTTTTCTGCAATAACTTTTGACCCAAGCCTTGTACGAGCTTACTTTTACCGGCATCGTGTTCCTCTCGTCAAGACGCATCGAATGAACTATAACTTGACCTTGAAAGGTCAACTTGAAAATTTGACCTCAGGTCAAGGTCATGACCTGACCGGAAAGGGTCATGTTGCATATCAGTCGATCCGTATCGTCGAGCGGAACACATCTAAGGCGTTTTCATCGCTCTAGCATGCCTCTATCAAAAGTTATTTGCGAAAAACTGTTAGATACCATTCGTGACCTAAGATGACCTCAGGGCATAAACAGGGGTCACGGACACCATTTTCATGTTCAGTGTGTCTAAACCACTTGTAATTCAGTGTTTGGGAGTGTTTATAATGTCATTCGTCCAAAAGAGGCGCATTTCAATTTTCTCCCATTGACTTATAATGGGGAGGTCGCAAAATTGACCTGACCCTAGGTCATCGATATCAAAATTCTGAGATATGCATTTTGTACATGCTATTGCTCTTAGCAATCGCTGAAAGTTTCAAAGCGATCGGTCACTCGGTGTAGCTATGACAGACATTGAAACTTTTTATGTGGTGAGGTCACTTCAAGTGACCTGGTGACCTGACCTTGAATGACCTTGGTCTGAAATTTTCACAACATGTGTAGAATTGATGTAGGATAAGGTGTACCAAAAACGGCGGCGCTCCGCGCCGCCGTTTTTGAGATATTCGCGAAAAACCACAAGGGGGGGGGTGTTCAAACACCCCCCCCCCCCCAGCAGGGCGCGGGTTAAACTTTGGCATCTAAATTCTCCCGTTACCCGGAATTGCGCGATCGGACGGTAGGGGTCGGGGTCTACGCAACAAGCTCTGCTTAGCGTGGACTCCGGCTCTGTCAATCCGTCCATTCAAACATTCGAGCTAAATTTATAAAAAAAGGTGTCGAAAAAGTCATTTAGACGAAACGCGTCCACCCAATGTGCTGTGTAACCCGTCTCAATATATATACTCCTGGGAGGGTGGTTAAAAATGGTTGCGGATAGGGGTACCCGTAAAACACCGGTTTACTCGCGGGCCTTGGGTTAAATTGTTTTCAGTGCAGCGGAAGCGGTGGTTGCAATGTGGTCGAGTGAGGGCATACCAACGATAAAAATTACAAATGCATAATGTGGTTCGGAAGGTAAGGTAAGCCTACGAAAGATTTCGCCGATCGAACAAGGTGCCCAAAAGAATGCAGAAGGGACAAACGAAACAAAGTCTTTCTGACACGAGTCTGTTTCGTAAGCTTTTTGATATCGCCCGCTGCCGCTGTAAAGAGCTGCGCAGCCGTACCTGTCCACTTTCAAACCGGGTACCGCCAGCGGAAATAGCATTCCTTCGAGACCAGAGAGGAATTCGGAAGATGAGACTGGTTGGTGTGGGCTACGAGGGGACGGGGAAACGACGTAAGACTACGAGCCTTGGAAAGAGACGGGAGCGGAACGAGGGGAGGGGCGACGCGGGTCAAGCTGGTCGTTCCCACCTCCGTACCTATTCCAGCGGCGTCAATATCGACGAGACAGGCCAGGTAGACTCACCGGCAACGTCCGACACCAACGACAGCAATGAAGACGTCACAAGTGAATTTGAGATGAAGGAATGCATCAAAGACTCAAACGATGATGATCTGACAAACACTGCACTGGCAGCTGACAGGTATGGTTTATCCAGCCGTGCTGTAGCGGCCGTCATCAACGGTTTCCAGATGGATATCGGTCGCGTAGTGATACATAATAATAACCAAGATTGACCATTGAAGATAAATGTCAGCGAGGTTGATACATTTACATGTGTGATATATTAAATGGCAAAGATGCATCTTTTCTGTGTAACCGTTGTCTAAAATTAGATCGGATACTGCCTCGTTTGCATTGCTTACATCCGTATTGACAGCGTCTGTCAACGCTAACAGGCGAAGACGCGCGCGGCTGGTGTTAGTGTCATCAAACGCATTACGCCAAACATGGAGACTGCAACGCCGGGCGCCACGATAAATCCCGAACTTCTTTCAGCCGGCGCCGATCGAATTTTCGATGCATGGAAAAAAGAACTGCACCAATGAGCTTCCATAGACACAGGGACAAGGAAAATCAGCGGAAGCGCCTGATCTGTTTCTAGTGACACACCCTAGTGAATAGTAGTGATGTCAATTACGGAGAATCAGAATACCGATACTAGCTATTTTCTACCAACAGCCTCAATAGTCTCAGCAATCCGCATAGACACTAGTCGGTAATCTAGTAGGACGAGGTAGGCACAATTAGACAAAGGTTTTTGTCAAATTTCTGACTATGTAATGGCTTGGTGCGACATTTTTTGAAAAGCTTGGGCAGCTAACTTTCCTTTCAGCGTTTTCTGAAGTGCAAAGAAATGACTTTTACCCAAACTATGAAATCAGACAAGCGAATGCCACTAGGTAGGGAGAGTGGAGACGAAAGGAAGACGACGAATGACGTAGGCATTGCATACCTTGCCTATTTGGGAGAAAAGCCCCTGGGTATTGGTTTGGTATCGGTATACCTACCAAAGAGTTTTTATCCGATTGACATCTTGGCACTTGACCACCAAGTACCCACCGACACTGGCCCGTGACCCGCCCGTTACCACCCACCTGTCACTGGCCCGTGGCCCGCCCTTTACCACCCACCGACACTGGCCCGTGGCCCGCCCTTTACCACCCACCGACACTGGCCCCTGGCCCGCCCTTTACCACCCACCGACACTGGCCCGTGGCCCGCCCTTTACCACCCACCGACATTGGCCCGCACTTTACCACCTACCTGTCACTGGCCCGTGGCCCGCCCTTTACCACCCAGTACCCACCGACACTGGCCCGTGGCCCGTCCTTTACCACCTACCGACATTGGCCCGTGGCCCGCCCTTTACCACCCACCGTCACTGGCCCGTGGCCCGCCCTTTACCACCCACCTGTCACTGGCCCGTGGCCCGCCCTTTACCACCCACCGACACTGGCCCGTGGCCCGCCCTTTACCACCCACCGACACTGGCCCGTGGCCCGCCCTTTACCACCCACCTGTCACTGGCCCGCACTTTACCACCCACCTGTCACTGGCCCGTGGCCCGCCCTTTACCACCCACCTGTCACTGGTCGGGGACGCGGCCGTCAGCCATGTCGGGTCGGCGATGACGGCCTGCAGGAGCTGTGCCGGTCGCCGGTGGGAGCCGCGCACCTCGCACGGCCGTGCCGCCGCGGCGCCGATAGCGACTGTTTGTAGTGGGCTGATAGTCACCGGTCGCCGCCGCGCGGCCCGCCCGAGTGCGCGGTGGCTCGGCGGCGCGGCGGTGGTCCGCCGGCTCACCTTGAGACCAGTCTCTGACCCCCCCCCCGCTCCCCGCTCCCCGCCGCGGCTCCGGCCAGAGAATCCCTTCTGCCCCTGAACGTTCACCGCATCTATCCGCTGCATTGGCGCGGCCTGGCCGTAATGACGCTAGTGGCTCATTCCATTGAACGTATCGTAGGTATTTGTCATGATCTGAAACAGTCGCGCCCTATCGGTTGGCGCATAGGTCAAGCATGATATCACACTGTCTCGTCATCACGGAACAAAGTGTCGTTACTAAATGGGTGCGAAACATATAACGTATGTAGGTACTATGTACTGTTGCACAATAAGGGAGGGGAGTAACATTAAAGGGACCCTCCTACCTTAACATTAGTTTTGAGTTGAGATAGCCAAGTTTGCGGCCAGGCTCAGAAACCACCATTTATCCTGGTCGCAACCCCCGCAGCTTTATAGTGTTCAAGAAATTTCTTCCCTTTACTTGCAGTTGCAGGATGGGACCAGCGTAGTCCCTATCTCTTAACACTAACGGACTCTGATGACGTCATCAAGCCAATTGACCGCGCGTTATAAAATAAAAGTCTTATATTTCAAAAACGGGTCAATATTTTTCGGTGAAATTTGGTAGATTTTCATTTTCGCTTTTTCTGATTCACGGTACACCACTTTTATGCCAATTCATTAACTTTTTTAAGGTGGGAGGGTCCCTTTAACCCGTGCTTCGTAACGGGGAAGAGGTAAAACGGACCCCTCTCCTTTTCCGTGGACATCTCCCAAAGTGGTGCAGTAGATACCATCACTAGGGCACAGAGGCGGAACTGGTTGCCCTCCGGGTCGCCGAGCGACCAACCGCTAAAGCCCGCGAGACCTGTACTTACACCTGTATGTATGGCTAGTGCTACATTGGTCGGCGCCACCATGGGTGGAACTTTTCCAGGGAAGTTGGTGGGGCAAGAAGTCAAACCCACAATGTCCGATTATAAAGTTGAATAAAATGCCACACTGAATCAATTCCTATCATTACAGATATAATATTTTGCATTAAACAGACATTCCATAGCTCTTCAATGCGAAAAAGATTAATTTGCAAAGCAACGTCTTATAAATCAGCTAAAGTTGGTGGGGCAAAATGCTTTTTGGTGGGGCAAAATAGCAAGTTGGTGGGGCAGCAGCCGCCCCACCAACTGTATAGGAAGCTCCACCCCTGGGCGCCACGCTGTCGGGCCCAGGGGGCCCGCCTTCACACAGCGGCCGCCGCCCAACGGCCGTCGGGCGCCGACTAGAGCCGAGCCGACGCCGTCACCATGGTAACGGGCACGCCGCTGCCATGGTAACGGGCACGCCGCTACCATGGAGATTGGACACGGTGCACGCCACTGACAGTGCAGCCAAGAGCGCGGCGAGCAAGGCAAGAGGGGCAAGCGTCCATAGGTCACGTGAGTAGTCGACGTCATGTGAGCTTGTCTGCGGCTCCGGTCACGTGACCGGTGAGATCGGTCGGGTTGACCGTGCGCCAGTGGACGCTGTGGAGCGCAGCTGCTGGCGACTGGCCACACCAGGCAGCCGGTGCAGTGCACGCAGCTGCTGGCTACTGGCCACAGCAGGCAGCCGGTGCAGTGCACGCAGCTGCTGGCGACTGGCCACACCAGTCAGCCGGTGCAGTGCATGCAGCTGCAGCACAAGCTGCACCGCGTGTATGTTACCTAACTCGGCCGAGGCCAGCGGCGACGTTTCGACTAGAGGTGGCAAAAGATGAAAATTTTGGGAACCATACTCGAACCAGACCCGGCTGGACATTTCTGGAACCAGTCGGACCCGGTCTTAGTTGGAACCGGAACCAGTTGGAACCGTTCCCCAAAAGTCAATTAATACAAACTACTTAAGGAATCATTAGTTGCATCATGTAAAACAGCCTATTTCCCACTAGGAATACTCATGAGCTACTGTGTGCAAAGAAACATTCACTTCATTCACTTCATATTTTGCAATAATGTGTAGTGTGCAAGATGTATAGTTTATGGTACCTAGGACCCGATTGGACCCGTCAGAAAATACCCAGTAACCGGTCTGGACCCATACGGGTCCAGACTGGTTCTTTGGACCGGGTCCTCGGATCCACATTTTGCCACCTCTAGTTTCGACAGTTTAGTTTACCTTTTTTTGTTGCGAGATTGCTTGTAACTGTTATAGTATATTGTACAGTGGACTACAGAATGATGTTCCGCTTTTCATAGGCAAGCAGTTGCTTGGAGCGGTAGACTGTGCCGCATCACACAGCCATAGGCGGCGGTACGCGGGGGGGGATGGGCACCGGGAAACCGTGCCCCCTTTGATTTTGGCATTTTAACATTAGCTCTATGGGCATCGCATGAAAAGAATGAGATCAAAAGTCGGCAGTACCCTCCCCCCCGCTTAACCCTCGCCGGGCCCCTCGTTGTTGTTAGTTGATGCAACCCCCTAAGGTTTTTCGAAAATAACGTGCCAGATTTGACATAACCTCTCGGGCAACCTTTAAGTGCACCTTCCCTGAACATTTCAGGTCTCTGCCATTTTAGGTCAGGTTACCATGTCACCAAAACCGGTACAATGTCAGGGTAAAATTGGACTATATTAGCGGAAACTGAACCGCTGAGTTTATCGTTTATAGCGTGAGAACCGTTAGACTCAGCGCCACCAAATTTCAGACACAAATTAGGGCAGCCACCTGACATGTGGCCTAGGATTTTTGTGTTCCAGTGGCCTCAGTCAGGTCACAAGGTCACAAAAACCGGTACATGGTCAAAATGGCACTGGAAATACGCTATTTTGTCAATGAAATCTAGAGAGACTCCCTTTGGAGAACATATGAGGGAGAGCCATCCGAATGAGTCAGAGCCTCGGCTATCTGTCACCATTCTTCGCAGATGCAAAGACGCAGCTGACTGGAAAATAGCCGAGGCTCAGGCTATCCGGGATAGGCAGCCCTCTCTGAACGGCCAGATCGACACGTGGCCACTGCTCCGCCTCCACTGAACGATTACGTTTTGTCAGCCATCGATCGATGTGTATGTACATGTTGCACGTATGTAATGTATTCGTTGTGATGTGTTGATACCTTTGAGTACGAGGTGTAGGACCCAATTACTTGTAATTATTAAATTTCGGTACCGGTGTCAAATGTGTAATTGTGTAGGGATCGTGTGTGTTCTTATTTAGGCCAACATGCGTCATTTTATTTCTGTATAACTATGCTGCCAGTCTGGGGAGAAGATTGTGATCGTAAATCATGCCTTTTTATTTTAGGTATCATTGACTTAGATGTATTTAGGATTAGTACTAAGGGTTAAGTGTTAAAATTGGATTATTGTTATGTATGGTAGCAACAACATGTGATCGGTGGTGCAAAGAATGTTATCCGCACGTTCGCCATCTCTGCTTCAAATATGAATGTTTTAAATGCTCACTCTGAAGAAGCCACAAGGGCGAAATATCGGTCTCTTTATATATATTTTGTTTTTCGTCATTTTTCGATTAAGTATGAGCAAAGGCTATTTCATCATCACTGAAATATAGAGTTGCTCATCGATTGGATTCAAACTGGCAGGGTATGCTAAGCTCACTTAGTTGTATAACCTTCATCTGGAATTTTCCAATTCGGGTGAGCTGAGGTTATCTAGAGGTCACGACAATTTTTAAGAAAATTTGTCCGAAGGTCTCAAATTGTAAACAATATGCACCATTTCAACGTTTTTGTGTTGTTTTAGCTCAACTGAAGATGAATTCGGTGTTTTCTTGCTGAAAAACACAAACAGGTCTGGTCATCTGAGGTCAAATGAGGCCAAACTACGTTTTTGCCATTTATTTGGCAATAAATTAAGCTAGAGCTTCAAAAATGGTGTCATTGTGTTTCGTGTGATCAATTGAATCGAATGATATGCGATATGATGCAATTTAGTTACCGTAAACTTAACCCTCGCACGTGTGCGGCGTTTGCCAGCTTCTAACGTGTGGGGGGGGGGTTGACCCCTTGCCATTTGGCCCCTGATCGAGCTAGAGCTTCGCGGAAAATACAAGCGTGCTGCCCGTGACGAGAGGAAGCCGATGATATCCAATTTTAAGGTCCTAGGTCATTGGTTGACCTTCCAGGTCAGGTCAATGTTTATTTATTTATTTATTTTACATCATCCGGTCCATCTGCAATAATTGGGCTATTCACAGACCGTTGTCATACAAGATATAAGGCACTCACATCACATATTGTATATCATATCGCGGACACGAGTATTAACACGCGCACTGCAGCGGGTCTGAGCCGAACACGAACTGCAGGGGGGGGGGGGTTGAAAACAACCCCCCCCCCTGAGATCTCAAAAACGGCGCAACGTAGCGACAAGCGGTAAACGGCGTTGGATAGGTTAAGATGAGATCGACAAGAAATACTAAGATCATTTTTGGGTCAGGTCAAAAACGCGGTCACCAGAGGTCACCGAAGACAAAATGTTACGATTTTCACAACAGGAATTTCGCGGTAGTTTTTCTTGAATAACTTGTCTTGCACACAAGACAGAGGATCGATTCGAACGCCATCGTTCTTAGCTCGTCAAGGCGCATCGAATGATATATAATATGACCTCGAAAGGTCAAGTTGAAAATTTGACCTCAGGTCAAGGTCATGACCTGACCGAAATAGGTCATGTTGCATATCATTCGATCCGCATTGACGAGAAAAACACGATAAACGTCGAACGGAGTCTCTATCTCTACTCAATCTCAAGTTATTGAAGAAAAACCGCTGGTGACCTCAGGTGACCTAAGATGACCTGGAGATCACCTTCCAAAGGTCATAAGTGATATGTTTCGGTGAAATCACCAACAGGGACCTGTAATACTATGATCCTGAGCGTATTGAAGTCATAGGATGGCATTCAGAGTAAGTTGAAATTTCTCCCCTTGACTTATAATGGGCCGGTCGCAAAAATGACCTGACCTTAGGTCATCAATATAAAGATTCCGAGATATACAGGTTGTAGCTCGTGATGACTTTACTATTTCCTGTGGGTTTCAAGATCATATCTCAACAACTGTGGGCTTGGTGGGATTGCAAACTTCGAAATTTACGTTTCGAGGTAGGGTCACTTGGCCTGACCT